TATTTATATATAAATATAAGTTTACATTTGCACTGAACTAATGAAAATAAGGTTTGATTTTACTTTTTCTTGCTCACCAGATGACAGCACACCACTGTTGGCCCAAACAGTTCGTTTAAAAAAGACATACATATAGAAAAGTATGACCAGCTTTTCTGTGTTTTCTGATTTAAGGTTAACTCCGAATCTGAAGGAGTATAAACAGTGCTGTATCATGGACCCCACTGTTGCCTTTACCAAGGGCTGTTCTGAATCAACCTAGGCTGGTGCATTAAAGAGAAGAGTTAATATACCGTGGTGGGGTTACTTGTTTGGTGGAAGCCTGCAAAAATGACAGTATTTAGTAAGTTAGCCCTATTAACACCAATTACTGTTCTGGAGTTCTTCAGGATTGCTTTCTTTTATTGTGTTGCAGGGCAAAGCAATAGTAATTCTGATACGTGTGCAGAATTCAGAGTTAAATATGTTGGTGCCATTGAAAAACTGAAATACAATGAGAGCAAAAATCTCGAAGGGCCACTGGACTTGATAAATTACATCGATGTTGCACAGGTAAGTGGGTTACGAAAGACAATACCAACAGCGTCACAGCATCCTAAGCTGAGGTGTACCTCTTTCATATTATGTGCTCTGACACCTCCCTTTGTAAATCTTAGACCGAATGGAATCAAGTAGCTTACTTCAAAAAACGTAAAGCTATGAATCTCAGACACTCAGATCCATCCTGTTGTGTAACCAGAGAAGGTGCACCCAAAAAGCTGTCCTGAAGGAGGCTCAGCGCGAAGGCCCTTCTTATGAGTCGTCGCTGAACAAGTATCCCAAGTGACAGTGTTTACGTTGCCTTCAGCACTGTTAGGATTAGTATCTGGGGAAGAGTACCTCCAGATTTCCTCAGCACCACAGAAGTTTTCCCATAGAGGCAAACGGTCACATTTCTGCTTACAGTCACTTATGACCCTGTGACCAAAGAACCCGAAGGATGACCTGTGTCATCCTTAGAACCACAGAATCACAGAATTGTTTGGGTTGGAAGGGACCTTAAAGCCCATCTAGTTCCAACCCCCCTGCCATGGGCAGGGACCCCTTCCACTAGACCAGGTTGCTTCTTGCCTAACTCTTGTCGCTTGTAGTTATTTTTGTACTAAAAGCTGTAACTGGTTCTCATTAGGTAGCTGATAGTTTGTGTCATTAAAAGCACGAAATGTCTGTTTATCTTACAGCAACTTGACATTTCAGGTATTTGGATATATGCAAAACCTATTTTTACAGCCAAATAAAAGTGTTGCCAGTGCGGAACAGGGCTCACCCAGGGTCAGTGCAGCATGAAAAGGGCGTGCATTGCTTTTCAGCCCATCTGATCTGACCACAGGGTCAGACTCCCCTGAGGTGATAAATTCCTTTCTGGAATCATGTAATATTTAGTATAGAACAGGATAGAGTATTTCAGCTGGAAGGGACCTACAGCGATCTGGCTGGAGCCCCTCTGCTACGGGGACAGGCTGAGAGAGTTGGGCTTGTTCAGCCTGGAGAAGAGAAGGCTCCGGGGAGACCTTATTGCAGCCTTCCAGTACCTGAAGGGGCTACAAGGAAGGTGGGGGAGACTTTTTACAAGGGCCTGTAGTGACAGGACAAGGGGGAATGGGTTTAAATTGAAAGTGGGGAGGTTTAGATTAGATATCAGGAAGAAGTTCTTCCCGGAGAGGGTGGTGAGGCACAGGAACAGGTTGCCCAGAGAAGCTGTGGATGCCCCATCCCTGGAAGTGTTCAAGGCCAGGCTGGATGAGGCTTTGAGCAACCTGGTCTAGTGGAAGGCGTCCCTGCCCATGGCAGGGGGGGTGGAACTGGATGATCTTTAAGGTCCCTTTCAACCCAAACCATTCTGTGATTCTGTGATCATCTAGTCCAATTGCCTGACCACCTCTGGGCTGACCAAGTCAGAGCATGTGTTTAAGGGCATTGACCACCCTAGCAGTAAAGAATGCTCCCTAATGTCCAGTCTGAACCTCCCCCAAATGTATTGACATGAAGTTAAAGAGTGCAGGAGTGGCAGTGAAGCTCCACACAGCAAGACAGGAGCAGGGTTCGTGACGCTGCTGACCCCGTAGACTGAAGTAGGCATAAACACCTCCTCTGTTATCTGTCGTCATTGTGCATGTTCTTCTGTCTGCACTAAAGGCTCTTGTTTGTTTCCCTCCAAAGCAAGATGGAAAGTTACCTTTTGTTCCAGGTGAAGAGGAGTTTATTATGGGAGTGTCCAAATACGGCATTAAAGTTTCAACATCCGATCAGTATGTAAGTGATTCACAACAAACTGGCTCGTTGGTGCGAGTTGAAAAGTGCTTTCATTCATTTCTCTGGGAGACAGATGTTCTTTGTGACCAAAACGTCACCTCTGGCTTTAGGCAAAAGACAGACAGACAGGATCGCGCAGCAGCACTGCTTCATGTCCTATCTCCTCAGGGCTGTGTGTATATTCCTGGTTAGATTGGTTGGATTTATGACAAGAATCCATTCCTTTTGAGCTAGAGCACCAGCCTTTATGCTCTTTGGGCACGTCTTCCTTTCTCTGTGGCTGTCTTGCCATCCTCTCACGTGGAGAAGTAGCCTGAGTGTGGTGGCCAAGGCCGTAGGTTCCCCAGCCCGAGTTAGTAATGCAATTCCTGTTGCTGTTACCATGGAGAGGAAAAACAAAGGATGTTTTTTTCAAGAATACCCGAGTTGGCTTCCTCTTTAAAGTTCCAGCCTTGCACTCCTAATCCAAGATTGCGAGCTCATTCCAGCATTAAAGCCTCATGATTCCCCTTCATTGACCAAGCCTATTTTTTTGTTTGCCTCGTTTCCCACATGGATTTTATTTTCCTTTAGCGCGCTTCAAGTAGCTTTTTTTGCTAAAAACAAAAATCCGGTCTCCTCCCCAGGGCCCTCCGGCTGCCCTTGTGTAGCTTTGTAGCGTAGCCATGCGGTTTCCTTCTGGTTGCCCTCAGGGCCCCAGATACCATAAATACTTGGCCTTGTGAAGTCGTGACCCACCAACCACCCAGCAGTGCCTGTTCATAAAAGCCTCGAGTATGAGGAGGGTGAGCAGCGTTGCTCAATAGCTGAATGCTCTGAAGAGAGCCAAAACATTGCCTTCACTCCCTTTAACCACTCGTTTCTCACGCCTGGGAGGACGTGTGGCAGTCGTTACTCAAACCTTGAGTTCTTCTGGGCTCTGTTTTTGCTGTCCTCCTAAATTCCTAATTCTCATTAAGAACATAGGTTACGCTGTTATTTAAGTTCCTTTGTACTTGGATAAAGATCAGATAGGTGATGTTAAGACTTCTTTATCCATCATTCTCCTGGCTTCAAGCTGGAAGCATGCACAAGCTGATAAAGCCCTCTGCGATTAAGCTTGCACTGGCGTTTTATTGCACTGCGTTCTTTCCCAAATTCTGGCTTTTTGCATCCGTGTCACTGTTGGCATTTAATTTGTTCCGTAGTGTGCTTGTCCACCTAACTCTCTCACAGAGTTCCAAGATGGAAAGGTTTTCTCTGCATTCACACACAGAATTCAGACACTGGGGGGAGAGTTCTGTGATTTGTTTGCAGGTGAATAGGCAGCTGTTTACTTCAGATTCCAGAAAGACAGAAGAATACAAATTTCTTCCTCGTGGATTTCAGCCAATGTTTGAGAAATTATTTCATTAGTGACTGAAATATGCACAGATAGGGAATTCACTGACAGGTTTCCGTTGTTGGTGGGTGCAGCTGCTTGAAACCAAAGGCGAAGCGTTTATTGAAGTTACATGGCAGCTTTGGCCTTCTTCACGTTCCGCTGGCGTGTACTTGTATGTTGTATGTATGTACATACGCCTGTAGCCCAGTTTGCCCATCCGCCACCTCCTCTCTCCACTGCAGAATCCCCTCATGCTCAAACAGTGGCAGGAGGGGAGGAGTTGCCAGGGACCCGCGTGCTTTAGAGGACTCTGTCCCCGCTCTGTGGGTGAGAATCCCCACGCGCAGCAGCGCTGTAGCGAGTTCCAAACAAGTAACTCTAAAAAGTTACACTAATGTGGAGGCAGATCTCAGCATCCTTCATACGGAGACGGGGGGGTAGACACAGCACGTCCCACGTCGGCTCCTGCTGCCTCCAGCAGCATGTGACAGTCGGTGATGGTGCGGATTGATTGCGAGCGATTGCCGAGTGAATGCCGGGGATGGAGGCGTTTTTCAGGCAGGAGCTCTGGTAGGGGGCTTTCCCTCCGGGGTTTCGTGGCAGGCACCGAGCCCACTGTCCGCTTTTACAGCTTCTCTGTCGAAGTGGGTGTTTCTTTAGGCCCTTCCGCTGCTGCCAGGGACAAGGCGTTTGAGGCCGTGAAGACAGAGGAAGAGTTGCCTCGAGGGGCATCAGCCAGATGAGTGTGACTGGTTGGGTAGGGCAGCTGAGCCAAAGGGCTTCGTGTAGGCCAGGTGTGCAGAGGCCTTGTGCTGGACACATCAACCAACCCCTCTTGGGGATGGCCGAGGTCAGAACCGTTGGGACTACGGTGAAACCCTGCGGCCGTGGTGGAGAGCAGAAGTCTCCCCGAGTCGATCCCTGCAAGAATTGGTGCCCGTGCCACATCCACATGGCTACCCCTCCCCCCCAAAGCAACTAACCTTATCCCCACCCTCTTCTGGGAATGGTTTCTGCTCTCTACCCTTCCCAGAACTGAGACAGGGGGAAAAATACTGTGACAGGAAGAAGTTGGTTGTCGTTACCTCTGTGCCAGAGGTAGAGAGCGGGCCACCCTTCCTGCTCAGAGCTCAGTGAGGATAGGTGGGAAACGACGTGTGCTTTTGCAGCCTGGCCAGGAACGCAGCCCAAATACGAACGCGGTTCTGAAACAGAAGCCAAAATGAAATCAAAAATTGCGTTAAACCACCATTTATTTTTTAAAATCTTCACTAAACTCTCCATTAAAAAATTTAAAAAATCTTCATTTTACCAAGGAATACTTTTCACCTGTAAATAAATCTGAAGTATTCTTTTGTAAGAGAGAATCAAAACATGGGGAAAACTGAAATCGCTGATGCAGTGTTGCAGTAACTCTTATTTGCCACATGGTTTCAGGATGTGTTACATAGGCATGCTCTCTATTTAATTGTACGGATGGTCTGCTATGATGATGGTCTGGGAGCAGGAAAAAGTTTACTGGCTTTGAAGACAACAGATGCAGCCTCTGAAGAATGCAGCCTCTGGGTATATCAGTGCAATAGTTTGGTAAGAGTTTATGTTTACGGTATTTAATTGAGGTATCAGTATTTTGATTGTAAAGGGTGATTCTAAAACCCAAGGCCCTTGTGAAGCCTTTTTGGCAGAAGGGGCTGTGTTCACCTCCTGAGAGTGTGAACGTGCCCTGGCTGAGGAGGGGAGAAAAGCCCTACATTTGATCAGCTTCAAGGGAAAAATACCTACACTCCTAAAATTGCCCACGACAATTGGCCTGCAAAAGCTCCTTGCAGCCGACAGTGCTAATTAAGGACAATCCTCTGTATTTAAAGACAAAAACCTCCTAAGATGGGAAGGAGCAGGGAGGGACTGAGTAGCAGTTCTGGTCACAGAGCACGCAGTCACATCTGTAAGCCGGGAGAGCGATCTCCTCTTAAGAGCAGGAGAATTGGTTGTCAAGATACTGCGATACCAGCCGCTCGGCAGCACTGGGGGAAGACGTGAGCTGACTTTCTGACCGCTGGTGCCATGCTGTGATGAAAGCTAACCACTCCGGCTTGTTTCAAACCAGCTCATTTAAAACAGCTTCCCACATGTCACTGCAGACCGCAGAAAGCAAACTGAACCGCACTCGTGCTACTCCATTTCGCGTGTTTCCGCCAAAAGAATGATAAATTTCTGCTTTAAATGAGTTTTGAGACATTGGGAGGTTCTTCAGCAATCTGTGTGTTTGGGTTTTTTTTAGGAACAAGCACAAGCTATTTGCAAAGTGTTATCTACGGCCTTTGATTCAGTTTTGATGTCGGAGAAGTCCTGATACTCTCCAGCAGCATGGGGCTGTTGCACAAGAGGCCCTTGTGCGAGGAGGAAACGGGGCTCCTTCGGGATGGCACAGACTGCCTGGACCTGCGCACCGACCTCCGAAAGACTCGCTGTGCGAGAAGAGCCGTGCGACCTTGCACGTGGTACTTCGTCATTCCCCAAGCGTGACTTGAAGAAATTATTCCATCTTCTGTTTCCAGGACAATACAGAATTTTATATTTAACATGAGTTTTCCCCCCTCCTAAATCGTGTTTTGTATATTAATGTCAATATTGTAGAAAAGTAAAAGAAAACTGACACTTGATTCTGTCTCTCTGTCTGGAAAAGAGGTGGTTGATGTGGACCTCGGTTCTGCTTAACGTAGGTATTGGCAGCGACGCGAGGAGGGTGGTAACAGGTCGTCGTTTTGTGCTTTACGCCTCCGGTTTAACCTTGGGCGCGCCGCCTACGGACTTCCCGTGCTCGGCTAAAAACCCACACGGCGTACGTGTTCGTGCTCGAGCGCCTCTTCTCTGGATTGCCCACTTGACACACCGCACCGCGATGCCCAAGCAAGGAGGAGTAACGGAAGTAGCCAGTGATTTTAAAAGTAGGTTTATTTTTCCAGACATTCGACTGGTTAACAAGAGTAAAATTTATTAATCATGCTCTAATTATAAATCACTGCATCCAGGACATGGAAAATAAGAGTTGATTTTAGGTTATACAATATATACAGTTGCTCTGCAACTAAACAAAATAAAAACCGACTGAATTGAATATTATACATCTCATAGCACTCTAAGCTGCATTTGAAGTGTCACTTGCTCCTTTTTAAACAGTTAACACAGCAACCTAATAGTCTGCCTGCTAACAGGCTTTTGGAATCACCATTTGAATCAGATTTGAAAAGTTGTATGAAATAGGCCAAAAGTTTGGACTTTAAAATTCTTAATTTTATATTATAAATAGATATCTACAGGCTCTAGAATTTTTTTTCCTCTGCCAGAGGAGCAAACTTTGAGAAACGTGGAAAATCGAGGGATAAATTTTGCTTAGCTGCTCTTTATTGGTCCTCAGGATTTTATCTGTCTGCACTGGCAGCGCTACTGAGTTGTCCTCCACAAGCTTCCTGGTTTCTGAGTGACCGCTGAACGAGCGGTGACGATCTGAAGTGTAATTCCCCTTCTAGCAGAACTCAAGGAAAATTTGCATCCTCGTTTAACTTCACGGGTTGTTACATACACTATAAGATTCTGTGTTAAAAATACTGTACATAGGAGATCTGTGCAAAATAATATGCCCATTTACTCTCTAGACTCTATCAGGGATAGAAACGTACAAAATCGTGTTGCAGACGGAACACACCGGTGAGCGGATCAAACTGTAGTGCTAAGCTATTACCCTGGCGTTGCGCTGGGAAGGTGGAAAATGCGGACTAATCTGCTTCGACTTGCAACAAAAATATCTTGAGACATTCCAGTTTGTTCCCCTTTCACACTGCAGCAACAGCATGTAGAACGTGAAGGTCAGGCGTGTTCTTGGCTGCGCCCACAGGCTTGGGAGGCTGTCAGCCAACTGTACCACGTAGGAAAGGTGATACCAGGTAGGGTCAGCGTTGCTCTTCCAGCGCCGACGCAACTGGATCCTTCTCCCAATAAGCATCCGCGGTGGTGGCCTGTTTTCCATTCCGTCCAACGGCCAATTTAAACACCGTTTGTCAGAAATTCAAAGTTCTCTTGATAAATCTAGAGATACAATATTCACGAGACGTGATCAAAGCCAATGTGACCTAGACATTGATTTTTCTTACCCTATGCCATCAGTCGTTTCCTGTAGCATAAGCAAAAACGGGTGCGATTTCACAATATACAAACATCAAAATGACTTCAGATCTGTGTCGGTGTTTTGTATTCCATCAACCAACTGGGAGCCATCCACGGCCTAGCCTCTGCCCACAAGTTAGTAAAACAAATTTAACAACAGTGTAGCTACCATGTGTGTGGGTATACTCTCCGACCACGGAGTGAGCGAGCAAACCACCCCTGTTCGCAAGGCGGTGGCACGGAACTCGTGTCAACCAGGACACAGCGCGGCGCGGTGATGCCTTCCCGCCCGAGGGTCGCTACCCACCACCAGGTATCTGCCCTGTGCCAACACACCGCCGGGTGATTTAAGAACCGAAAAGCAAAGTCGAAACGCTGTAACGAGACAAGTGTAGGAAACGCCCTGCAATCCATCATCATCGTTAAGTACGTTTCAGGAAGTGCAGTTTTCATGTCCTTGAGTTAACGGAGTAACTCGTTAATATTGCCATAGTTTAGTTAACCAGCAGTAGTCACGTTCAATGACCAAAACGGATGGAACATACATAAAGAACATTCAAAAAACAGGTTCTATACACGTGCAGCGTAGAAAAATGAAACAGTCTCAAGCTCACAAAATTAGAACTAGAAAGTTCAACGACTAACACGGATTTCAGGGAACTTGAAGCAAATATCTACATCTGTTCCAAAAGAAAGAGATTTCTCCTGTGGTAAACTGAAATACTTCTCACTTTTACCTGGCCAAAGACACACCATTAAAATTTTGCCACGGTTGACATCCCGGACGACAGCCAGTATGGGAAGATGCTGAACGAGTCCCATTTAGAACCACGCAGCAGCTTGCAGGTTTGGGTTCCAACACTTCAAACGGAATCGAGAACGGAACAAGTTCACTGCCCTCTCACCGTGCACGCGACAGCTCTGACTGGGGAGGCGACACTCAACAGTGGCATTGCCACGTTACACAGAGGAGATCAAAATTACAGCGAACTGATTGAAAAGAATATTCATAACGATGCTCGCACACTCGTATGGATTTTGATTGTTAAAGCTTTTCAATTCACCTTGACAAATACAGGAAGAGTTGGTTTTTTTTTTAAAAAAGTGTAAACTGCTCATGAGACGTTTTCACATAGAAAAAAGTTTTAGAAGTCCCCAAATCAGAACGATGGCAATAAAAAAGTAAGCTACAGTACCTAGGACTCGGGCAGTGCTCTGGCAAGGTGTCTGCTGATAGGCAGGTGAAATGAAATAGAGCGAAACTTATTTCTGTGACCGCTGGAAATGAGAAATGTCTCCACTTATCAGTAGCAATTTAGTCAACAATAAAGTGCACAAATGAGACAGGGAATGCTCCTTTCCGACTGGGGTCTCCATCAATATGACCAATCTGAAAAAGTCCAGGTATTTTTCAAGTTACTCTCCAAAAGGCGTTTCAGTACTCAAAATGAACAGCAGTGACCCTCCTGCCTGTCGTACAAGCCCCTCCCTAGAGCTTCTCTGTGCAGCCGTGGTCTTTTTCTTTTGCAAATGGGAAACATGATCAGAAAATTCAGTCCTACAAGGTGCACTTGTTATTCGGCTACAGATCTGCTTTCTCAAATTCTGTTTTATCCAGAAGTAACACCTTTTCATGCAGTACCACTGCTGTGTTTTCAGTGCATTCTGCAATGCCTGGCTGCCCCTTCTCTGTCCCTGTTAAGTTGCTTCTGCTTCCTCCTCCTAGCAATTGCTGAAAACTAAAAGGACAGATCAAGCTTCAACAGTTCTGGGTTTTGCATGACTCTGTTTGTGTTTATACAGCATTATTGTTAATTTAGACTGAAGTTCCAGTCTTCGCTAGCTAACAGAGCAAGTGTTTTCATGCACAACAATTTCCCAAGGCTTTGCTTTAGCTGATGAGGCTCTGGAGTGTAAATAGCCGAGATGGTTTCCCAGCTCACGAGCAGACTTGTTTCTCAGCCTCAGTCAGCTGAAGAATTAAGACAATACAAGGCTGTCTTCTGAGGCCTACCACACAGCATCTTCAAGGAAGATGCTTGCCCAGAGAAGCTGTGGATGCCCCATCCCTGGAAGTGTTCAAGGCCAGGCTGGATGAGGCTTTGAGCAACCTGGTCTAGTGGAAGGTGTCCCTGCCCATGGCAGGGGGGTTGGAACTAGATGATCTTTAAGGTTCCTTCCAACCCAAACCATTCTGTGATTCTGTGATATGAAATAGTAGCAAATTCTAAAACTATTGAACCCCCCCACAAAGAATTTTCTTAATCAAACAGGTTCTATTGTGAACCCTACTAATCAGATAGGTTTCTGGCTTTTCTCATTCAGATTTAAAAAAAAAATCAACCTGAAGTTTTATTTTTGAACAAAAGAAATTTCTGTATTCAGGTTTCCATGAGATGAAACTTTTCTTGTTTTCTGGAAACCAAACAAGGGATCTTCTGACGCCAGTGTCAACCTCTACATTTCATTTCTTTCTTTCAAATAAGTTGATGGAAAATGCAAAACACTCACCCACCACTCTTGATCTTCTTCACCATCGACTACAATAATATCTCCCTCTGAAAAAGTTAGCTCATCTGGGTTATCTGCGACACAGTTGTAAATTGCTTTTACTCTCTTGGGTTTAGTTTTTGACTGAAATATAAAAATAAGCAAATGTTAATAATACAGCATGGAAGAGACAGAATCAACTTGGGACTTGATCTAAAGAAAGCTTCAGAACTGCATCCAACTGTTAATTTTCATAGGTTAGAGTTCAGCTACATTTTTTTATGCTGGGTGCTCATGCTCCAGGCTGAACTTGGCAGCATGCAAAGCGTTTCAGCAGCACTGTGCCACCAACGTGGGTCAGTTTTTCCCTTAGCCATCTTCCATTTCGGCTCATCCAAGCCTGTCCTCAGAGCTCGACATCATTGCAGGAGTATGATTTATTCAGAAGATGGAGTGATCAAGATCAAGGGCTACACAGCAAGCGTAACAGCAGCCGCTTTGTCAGAAAGAGGCCTGAGCCACCTGCCAATACGCCCCTTCCTCCTTTGCTAAACCCATTTCAGCAGCGTGCAAACCCTCCGAGATGTCCTCGGCCTCTCTGCAGTGCTTTCAGGACTGCAAGCCACAGGGGTGGTTTGTCAACACTTCCAATAGAGAAGTTGAGTAAGGAGTCGCAGTATTCCAATACTGCAGTGGGACTCCAACCCTAGTTGTGAACTATTTGAAGTGATGCCAGAATTGGGTTTGCTCTGGTACCACAGCATCCACCACCCTAATCTCACCCCTCTCCCTGTGCAACCCGGCCTGCTGCTGCAATTGTTTTCAGCCTCCTCGGTCTGTGTTGCAGACCAACAATAATGCTACCTACATAGTGTTTCCATGCATGGAGTGGAGAGGCACAGGAACTGAAGGCAGAGCATAAACTTTCCACCACGAATTCATCCTTTTCCCCAGTCTGCCCAGCCATAACCAGCTCTCTCCTTTTTACCTGAAGCTGCCAGAGCAGACAAGTGCCATTTGGGTCAAGAGATGTCTGTTAATGCAGTGGGTGTTTAGGACAGAGGCTCCAGATGGGACAAGGAAAGGAAGGTCTCATCACCATCCTGCAGTCCCCCAGGGACTGGTCTCTAGTTAGGTCAGCCACGGAGTGGGAAGCTTGTACAGGAAGAAGAAACTCCCTTCCCAGTCTGCAAAATGCTCTGCTGGGGACAGTACTGCCCCACAGCCTCCTAATGTGCACTGTGTTAGAGCTGAGCGCCGCGCAAAGGAAGGGGGATGTGGACGGGGAAGGAGGGAGGTAGCACGACTGCTACGCTCCTCTGTAAGCACCCGTTTGCATGCTGGTATAAAAGACCTGGCCTGCCCAGGGTAGGCATAGCCACAGGGTCTATCTGTGGGGCACACCCCCGTGAGCTGGCAGCCCTGCACCGCATCACAGCGGTTCTGCCAGATGCGCCATCCCAGCCAAGTCACAGTTTGAACCACAACCACCTTCTAGGTCAAGAGGGAAAAGCTTCACATCAGTACGACAGGGACATAATTACTAAATTCAAAGCACAGTAATTACAGGTATTTCTTGTTCTTTAGAAGGCAAGGAAGTTCAAATAGGTCCCATTCCCAGAAGACAGAAATCTTCCAGGAAAGTTTCCCACATATCTACAATACAGTTTCAAAAAAGTAAAATATACACTGAAAAAACAGACAAACAAACAAACAAAAAAGATGCATCAGGAATTTCCATCTGAAAAACAGGCTACTGGGCAAATGCACTGTGCAGGAGATAAGCCACTGGCTACACGTGCATGTACAACCAGACCTCTTTTTTCTTTACTCAAGGAGCACTACTGCAATCATCTCCTAAATCTGGGCTGGCCTCTGGATTCTCTGGCAGGGTAAAGACTTAGCTAAAAAGGCTGGAGTATAAGGCTAAATGGAGCGATTTAGCCAAAGTACTTAGCTAGGCTGATCTAGCTAAAGCTCTTTAGCTGAGGGGGCCTTGACTAAATCTCAGCTAAGATGCTGCAGCTAGAGTGCTTTAGCTAAAGCACCTTAACTAGCACACGCTCCCCGAGCCAGGTTTCCCTTACTTGTCTGTCCTATGACAAAAGAAAATCATCCCGCTGATTTTCTCAGTGTCACAAAATTCACCCTACTGAAGCCCTAGAGACATCTGGAGAGTCAGATTTGTTCTTCATATCACGTACAATTCATATTAAACAGTGGGGACACTGACTTCCTAGAAACTAGCCCAGGTAGCCCATTCACTCATAACCAAAGCAATCTGGCCTATGAGATGAAAAATGGGAGAACAAGACAGAGGAACTACTACGACTTTTAATGTATCCAGAAAGCCAGGTAAGGAGCCGTTTCAGGACCAACGGATACGTTGAAAGGATGTTGCCAGTGCTCACACCTCAATCTCAGAACACAAAACAGAAACTGTGATCAGGGTCCAACAGCTTCACAAAGTAAAACTGGCAATTCCCTTGGTGCATGTAAGCAAAAGGAACAGATAGTCCCCTTCACACTATTCATGCCATTTAATTTTATTGTGGCTTAAAACACTGTTGTGGTTTAACCTCAGCTAGCAATTAAGTACCTACCGCACAGCCACTCGCTCACCTCCCCCCCTACCTCCAGCGGAGGAGAAGAATCAGAGGAAAAGACAAGGAAGCTCATGGATTGAGGTAAGAACTATTTAATAATTGAATATAAATTGATAAAAATACTAATAAGATTAACAATACTAATAATACTAACAATACTACTACTGATATGTAATCGAAACTATAGAAATAAAACATATGCTACAACTGCTCACCACCCACCACCCAATACCCAGCCAGGTCACAAGTAGTGAGAGTCAGAGCCAGACAGCCCGAGAGACGCAGCCCGAGAGCGATCGCAGCAGAGTCTGAGCAAGCCCCAGGAGCAAGAGAGTGACTGGGAAAGCCAACCGACCCACCAACTAACTAATGAACAACCCGAACAAACGGGCTAACAAACGAATGAGCAAATGAGCGAGCTACGCCCCCCCAGGATCATCCTGGCTCTTACACTGAGCATGACGTGCTATGGGATTAAAATACTTGGTCAGTTTTGGTTAGCTGCCTGAACTGTGTGTCCTCCCACACTGCCCGCAGCAAGAAAGCTGGGAACACATGCGCAGTATCAGAAGCTGGAAAAGACCTTGAATTGGTACTAACACTCCTTAGCACCAACTAAAAACACCTTATCAATACTCTTCTGTCAGTATTCCTCAGGGTAAATCCAAAACATAGCCTCATACCAGCTACTGTGAAGAAAATCAACTTTGTCCTGACTAAAACCAGTGCAAACATGAAAGTTATTTTCAAGACAGACAATAACTTGGTTAAACAAGAGCGGGGGAGGCAAGAAATCAGATTTTATACTCCCAGCTCTTCAGCATTATCAGATGAGAAACAGCCAACAGGAGTTCTAAGAGCTCCAGAAAAAGATGCGAGGCTATGCACACAGGCACACTGGAGTCTGTCCTGGAGAGTTACTATTCCAGCAGACATGGCTAAGGAAAAATGGATGAAGGGAGAGAGACAGAGGGCTGAAGGCGGCAAGTCTCTGTTACAGCCCATTAAGGAGACAATCACAGAGCCAGGAACAGCATGTCTCCTACCTCTTAGTTTATTATTTACCTACTGAACCACACTCTGACACAGAATATAAAGCATGAAACAGCCCACACCTAGTCACACAGAGCACCTCAGAAAGTATGGACTCTCTACAGTGTGATTTGTTTACTATGGATAAATACTCTCATGGTCAAGCATATGGACGTTTCCTGTCCATCACACAACGGAGCAACAGAAAAATTGGAGCAAGGACCAAAGACCCAGCCAAACTACCCATAACGGCTCAGCTGACAACTGGAAATACACCAGTATAAGAATACAGGTATTGACACTAATGTGTGATCATTCATGGTCCTAGACAGAAATAACAGAGTACAAAAAGGCCACACAACTGGATCAAGAGTTCATCTAAATCGACTCTTTTCTAACAGTCACTGTGAGGCTGGCGGAGGGTGGAGAAGAGGAATACATGATATCTCCAGCCTGACACTTCCTGCCTTCCCCTTCACCCTTCAATCACCTTCTGGCTGGGGATATCTCAAGTCAGATGTGGTTTCTGTCTATGTACCAAGAGACTTCCCTCCTGTCACCCAGTGAAGGCATGATGAAGAGAATCAACTGCACAAGGAACTGGTGTCTTTTCTTTTGAACTGGACTCTTACTAGTCTTGTCTGAAGCCATTTGACCTACCAATGTTAACAACGATGAGCATATTTAATTCCATTATTAATCACAAAAGCTCCCTTATTACTTACTTCACTGAGGTTCAAAAATGAAGTTACATATCATTTACATGTGACTCACCAAACTCCTCTACAAGTGACTCATTGATCCAGCTTATCTACCTACAACAGACTTTTTACAAGAGCCTGTAGTGACAGGACAAGGGGTAACGGGTTTAAATTGAAAGTGGGGAGGTTTAGATCAGATATCAGGAAGAAGTTCTTCCCAGAGAGGGTGGTGAGGCACTGGAACAGGTTGCCCAGAGAAGCTGTGGATGCCCCATCCCTGGAAGTGTTCAAGGCCAGGCTGGATGAGGCTTTGAGCAACCTGGTCTAGTGGAAGGTGTCCCTGCCCATGGCAGGGGGGTTGGAACTAGATGGTCTTAAAGGTCCCTTCCAACCCAAACCATTCTGTGATTCTATGGTTCTATGAATAAGCCAAACCATACATTCTGTGGATTGTGTGGGTCAGATTTGGACACAAGCAAAGAATCTTCGCTTTTCTTTGGTTTTTCTTTGGGTTTTGTTGTGTGTTTTTTTGTGGTTGGGTTTTTTTTGTTTTCTATTTTTTGTTCATGATTGGGTTGTTTCTTTTTTGTTTGGTTGGTTTTGTCTTTGTTTTTAATTTAAAATCACATACTATCATATAGGAAATGCAAGAAAAGCAACGTATTTAGTACGAGCCATGCACATATTTAACACAGGGCACAGGCTTTGTATTTTTCATGTTTCTCACACTTTCTCCCTAACAGGATACACTATTACATCAATACCATGTTTGATCGAGTGCAAAAGACTTAATGCAATCAAAACCCAGATTGTCTACTTACGATTTGTGATTTCCTTGGCATTGGTGCTGGTGGCTGGATTTGTGCCAAAGTATTTGCTGCAGAACTGGTTTGTGTTACTGGAATTTCACATACAGAAGACGACTCTCCTGCTGCTAAGGTAAGTAAAACAAGTAAACTTTTAGGCATGCTTTAAAAAAAGCAAGAATGATGATACATATTGAAACCAAATAATTTATTCTTTAAAGGATACAGATAATTTTATATCCCATGAGTATTTCGTTTGTTAACGGCTCTTTCTAAATAACTGAACAGTTTATCTAACCTTTTCCTTACCCCTTTTCCCAAACACAATTACCTAAGACTTTTAATACTCCAGATATGCTAAAAGAGAAAAAAACCCCTATAAAACAGATAAGAGCAGAACCAAATATCCCATTTCCCCACTCATTCACTACAGACTGTGTGCTTTTAGAACCCTTCTTTCCTAGTAAAGGCTGTCATTATCAAGATGCTGTATCCTGCACAGGAGCCTTCTCACACAGATAGCAGACAGTCATGAGCAAATTCCCCTGGGTATGTCAAGGGGAAATAAAAGAGAATCACAGTAAGAACCAATGAACATAATATATACAGTGGAAGGGGAAACTGGGTAGGAGAAATCCCACTACAACCACCAGAGAATCCACACAAACTTTACTTTGGACATTTTATTGAGATGACATTATTGTCATGCCCCAAAGTGATAGTTACTTTGAACAAGGAAAAGAGCAGGGTGAATAATGAACTCTCTGCATTATCAGGAAAAGAGAAATATCAATTTGCAATTTAATTAAAAGTGACACGATTTGAGCTTTGGATTTTCAAACTACAAACACATTTTCCTATTCTGAAATGTGTATCTGTCACCTTGTTTACAATACATACAAACCAGACAGTAAACTAAAGTTTTCATAATGCATCCTTTGTTTGAGTGGGGTTTAGGTGAGGTTAGGAAAGCTAAAGCCCAGCTGGAATTGAATCTGGCAAGGGATGTCAAAGGCAGTAAGAAGGGCTTCTGTAAATACATTGGTAACAAAAGGAAAATTAGGGAAATGTGGGCCCATTGAGACAGGGATCTGGTTACACAGGACAAGGAAAACGCTGAGGTACTGAATGTCTTCTTTGCCTCAGCCTTTACTAGCCAGACCAGCCAATCCCATCCCAGAGACACAAGGAAAATCTGGAGCAAAGTCCTGCCCCTGGGGTTGAACAAGCCCATGTACCACAGTGGCCACTAAGCGGGGAAGCAGGACCAGAGGCCACAGGCACCAACAAACCCAGGAGGTGCCGCTTGAACACCAGGAAACACTTTGTTACTGAGGGTGACCCAGCCCTGGCACAGGAGTCCAAGGGAGGCTGTGGAGTCTCCATCCTTGGAGTTACTCAGAGTCCATCTGGACATGGCCCTGGGCAGCTGGCTCTGGGGGCCCTGCTTGAGCAGGGGGGCTGGACCAGATGATCCCCAGAGCTCCTTCACAACTGCAACCGTTTTGTGACTCCAATTACATGGCTCCATTATTTACATTAATTGGCCCATAACTCTGTTCACACAGAACAGCTTGAGGCATCAGGGCCTACACAATCAAGAACAGAAACAACAAGAATGCTGGTACTGACTGTATTTAAGTAAGGTAAATAAATTAAAACCACTCCACTCTTCCTTAGGCTGTTATAACGACAGCTTAATTACAAAAAAATAGATCTCTAAAGCTCAATTACCAGTTTGTTGTACAGACCCAAGTCCTCTGGACTGCCCTTTGTTAGTTATGCCAGATGGCTTCTCAGTCCTGTGCAGAAAGTTAGACATTCATCCGTTTAAGAAAAAACAAGAGCTTGAACAGCAACAATATTTTCCAAATTATAGAAGTCTTGTCATGTTGTCAGTATATGCCAGTGACAGCTATTTTGCTTTTAAAAATACTACTTTGCTTCCATATTTTTGTTTACACCAATTGTAAGTTGTACTTAATTTAAAAGTGTAAGGCAGAAGAGTAATGTAGGTTCAATTACTGCAATTTGTGTAGAGCAGATTTTCTTTTCCTAAGTTCTGAAGTTCCTTTCACTGCTATTTTAAAATTCTTTATTAAAATTATGTATCCATATTAACCTGTAAATTATAGCAAGCTTCAGCAAGTTGCTTCTCCCTTTTATTTAGTATGGTATCTGCAATCAAAGGACTAGAAAGTGAGGACAAAGGTTGTTTACCTCTTTCATTCACAAAGGATCAACCACATATATTATTTACCTCACATAAACACATACATGTCCTTGTATCTTATAACTATCTAAGTTTGTATAGGCTGGCTGAACTCTGCCAAATTATTAATGTCAGAGAATCCAAAAACTTCCCAGCCATGTTACTACTATCTTTCCCTGTGCTTACTTTCAGAAAGATTTCTCCAAATTACTCTTATCACAATTTAAACAGAAGTCGTCTTCATTAGAGCCATGATGGCATGTAGAAAAGGAGGTCATAATCCAACACTTTGTACATATTTGAAGACAGGTATCTATACTACAATTTCTATTTTAAAAAAATATAAGAGAAACTTCTTTCTTCCAAAGTTTTCTCACAGATCATATTTTCTAGACTTCTCAATACCCTATTGATCTCCCATGACTTCTGCCTATTTTGTGTCTTTATGTCCCTGCAATACTCAAACTGAACAACAGCAGTCGAGCTGAGGCATTACTGATGTTCAGTTAACTGGAAGGGTTAATTCATATAGTTTGCAGGCTAAAATCAAACAGTACTATTTCTCCTTGACTCTTCCAGCACAGCATGAGTTCTCAGATTTACTTCTATTTATGACTCACTATGTCCTTGCAGATCCTTCTCTTAAGGACTTCCGCTTACATCCTTCAGTTTTGCAGTTGATCTTAAGTACTATGTGTTGCTTACTGGATGACACCCCACGTCTCCCTTGACTACTACTCCAGTTTTGCAAGGTTGCTTGGGATATAATCTTGGTTCCCAGTACACGTCCCTCCTAGTTTTGTTTCCTGCAAATTTAAATATAGTATTTTCTGTTCCAGCTCTCTCTATTCCTGCCATGAATGAAAATATTGAATGGAATTGAACCTATGCAAAGCACGTGAACAATAAATGGCACAATCGGACATCAGATCTCATTCTCTTTCTTTATTAGGTAAGAATTAAAAATGGATTATTCTTTGTAGCTTCTTATTTCCACCATGGCTAAGCATTCTGTAGGTATTCTGCAAGTCATACAATCTGAAATTACTAGGCTGTCTTGCTTTTACTGTGGGAATCCTTGTAAGGTGCTCCCTTAGTGTCTGTCCTGTGTTCATTCACCTACTCTACAACCCATCGTTGGCAAAAGCAGGCATGCTTTACAGACGACTTGCATGTTGTACACCACAAAACGCAAGTGAATCATAATTATGAAGTATATTAAATACTAAAATGACAAGAGTTACCCAGGAATAGGCTTTCTTTGAGAGATTCTACTAGGAGGTTGTGGGGGCAGTGGTGGTGGGGTTGGCTTGGTTTGTGGAGGAGCTGGTTGCTGTTTAGACTGCTGGTTCAAAGCTTCTATAATGCTGGCTGTCTTTGCCACGGGAGGCGGTGGTGCTGGAGAAAGCACATCTATGGAGGAAAGTTAAGAGAGTGAAATGGAATTAAATTTGTATTTACCACTTCGGTTTTGGGTTCTCATCCACAGATTTTCCTGGTTTAGGATTTTCCTCCATCCAAGAAAAATGCTTTACTACATGCAACCAGTAACAAACAGAAAGCAATCCTTCCATTGGAAGGAGAACCTCTTTGGAAAGAGGTTACCTTTTGTTTCACCTAGTCAAGGTCAGCGAGCTCACAAGGACTTCAGTTCCTTAAAGCATTAAAGTACCAGCAAAGAATTCCTACCAACGTCAATCATATTCTTGAAAATAGTAAATCAGAATATATCTAATAAAATGCTAGTATTTGCTCAATCACAGACTTCATTTTGTGTTTTACGGAAAAGTAACTGAGGGAATAATATCTGAGAAACTGTGTTTAGAGGAATGTCTTTTCTTAAAATCCTGTTATGATTAACATCTAACTAACTTCACATTAGGTTTAGCCATTAATTAAAATTTCTACTGAATTCTTGAAACCACCACAACAGCAGCTGGCATTGAAACATCTCTTTGCACTCCCACAGTCTGCAAGAGTCAAGCACAAAGTGGAGACATAGCCTCAGGCCTACATGTAAAAAGGCATCTCAACAACTAGTGAGAAATGCAGCACTGAAGAGCTCTTTAACTCTAGTCATCAACAGTGTTTTCTGTTGACCCTGCGCTACACCAGGCAGTCCTCACTGGAACATCAGAGAAGACAGTTCATACAAAGTTACTGGATGGGAACGATAGGCCAAAGCTACAGTCACCAAAAGAGGAAGTATGAGTTGTGGAAATGGAAAAATAAGCCAACTATGATTAGATACAGCAGAAGGGAAAACAGGGGAAAGTGGAAACATACTTGTAGATGTTACACGCAATGGCGGCACAGGGGGATGAATAGCTGGTGGATCTGATGAAGACCTCTGCCTGCTTATACTTTCCACTCCTAAAGAATTTGTCTTCCACATTGCATTAGATGAAGAAATTGTCTGAATACCACTGCCAAGAACTGAAGGCTGAACTAAAAAGAGAGGAAAATACTGTATTATTATTATTGCTTACCCTAAGCACAAAGTGTTAATATTCACACCCGTGCTTTTAAAAATGGTGCAGCTAGGCTGCTATATTCAGCAACAGGAACCACTGCCATCCTGCTGGAATGCCAGGGCAAATACAGCCTGGTGCAAAAAATTACATACAAATGCCTGGGTGACATCTTACTAACATGTCACCCAAGTAAAATTCGTCTCCAGTCATGACTTTAAAATACATTAACACTTGAAAAGGCAGAAATTTCTCAACAAGAAGACAGAAGGCAAGCCTTGTTACCTTCTTTAATCCCTGACTGATCAGCTGTTATCTTCTCAGGTACTGCAAGAGAAGGACCTCACTCTCGCGTGAGCGTTAGCAGACATTGCTGACTCAAAGTGAAACATCAGTTTTGACTTCGGGTTGACATAAAAATGTAGTTCTGAATTTCACCCAAATAAGAAGTTATAACGACTGGTCATGAAACAGTTACAAAGTACGATTTCCTCGGGGTCTCCTAAATGACTCCATTCTTAGACTGAACAGCTGCCTCCCCATTTCATAAAAACACACTACAGGTTTTCTTCATAAAGCCAGTGTTTTGCACATACCATGCCACTTCTCCCTACTCAGCACATGAGCATCATATTAAGAAAAGATGAAACAGAGTAAGGTATGAATAAATATTAGGTTGCAGGGAAAAGCATAAAAGACTTAGAACACTTGGAGAACAGCCTAAAGCTAAGAGGATAAAGGAGTAATAATACACCACAAACATAACTTCAACAACATCAGCAATCAAGAAGCAGCTAGGATCGATGACACTATTACAGCTTTTAACTAAAAATACAACGTAACAGGCTAATACATTGCTAAAATAAAGAATATGAGCTAATAATCCAAGCCAGGCAGCATGCTTTCTTGGCGTGAGTTGCACTACCCTGGTGCCAAGAAGTCTGGGGTTGGGAATGAAATTAAAATGACACTGTTTGAAAAGTGTCGTTTAGTCAAGGGTGAACAGGGGGTAAAATAGTATGGTTGGCCTTGATTAAAATAATACCAAAGGGTAAAACAGTCTTTTAAAGTATTACTATTACAACTGTATTACTAATTTAGACTTAGAACAACTAACAGTTAAACAGATTTGGGTGAATTTTCCTGTTTGGTGAGGGAAGCGTTCCTTTCCATCAAATAAAAAGGAGTTGTCTAGATACTAAGCTTAGACTTCATGCAGAAACGTTAGATGAAAGGATTCCCACCTTGGTTAAGATTATATGCTGCTAAACTTTCCCCCATCTCATGCTACCTTTTTTAAATAATCCAATACCATGCTGTTCAACTGTCCTCAGCTTTTCTGCTGACAAAAGAACGTATTTTAACCCAACTTTCATGCTGCAGCCATTCCTGTGAAACCAATAACTGACTTTTCACATTACACAGACATTCAATTTGCCCTCTCAGACACAATCACTGGTGTATGGAGTCTTGCATTCTGACCTCTGCACGGTGCTCCCAAAGGCAGAAGCCACCCACATGTGCCTAGAACATTCCCCACTTTTCTCTCCTCTTACGGAGTCTGAATTACAGTGTCACAGAAAACTGTGTGTTCACATGTGTTTTCTTGAATTATTCTTGATATAAATTTAACATCCATGAAAGCTGCTGCATTAGCAACAGTATTAAAACAATGAAACACACTGAACATGTACTGTACAAAGAGGACCCACAGAGATTTCTTTACGCTTCTTTAACATGATCCAAACAGATTATATATGAAGATAAGAATGAAGTTCACAGCATCAGCTTTAATGGTAGATTTTGCAAGCACACAACCCATCTGAACCAGGATAAGACATTAGATTTACATTGTTCTGCTGTTCAGGGTATAACTAGTACTTGGCAGTTACATTTTCAGTCAGGTACCAGTTCCTTAAAATCATCCAGTTCTCCACATCATGAGACTTATACTTTTATTTTGACAACCATGAAGTATATATTTATTAAGAGAAGACTTTGCAAGGTTAAAATCTCTCATGTTCTGTGTACACTCTCTATTCTCCCAGGTCTTAATTTTCCACAGCAGTCAAATGCTACTGAAATTGAACTCTGACAATGACATCTTCAAGACACAGAAGTATGAAAAGACAGAATATAACAACAAAAAAAACATTGCTGAAATAAACTGACTGCAGCCTTCCATTTACTACATTGTTTAGCTCTACTGAGGTTACCTGGACATCGCTTTTCCAAACACTCTTGTGTATTTTCTTGCAGGTACACTGAAAATCAAACTCTGAGCAGGTTGTGCAGACTCACTTCAAGCATATAAAATGAAGTCATCAATAAGCTGTTCCACTACTTACCTGTGCGAAATAACTGTCAAAGAAAACCTAAAAACGTTATAGTAATAAAAAAATGTTATGATCTCATTCTTCTAACCTACAATGATATTGTTTGGTGTGAGTACCTTTGCCAATATTCCTTGGAGGTAGAGGAGGTGCACTACTCGTAACAGGCACTGCAGGCTGAATGGGAGGTGGACTGCCACTGAGTATTGCTCCGTATGTTTCATTCTGTAAGATGCTTGGCATAAATCCTCTTTGCTTATCCTTAGCAATGTTTGCTGCATCTCTTGCCAAGGATGCTACATTAGGCTGAAGTTGGTTTGATCCAAGTTGGTAGAAGCTGACAGGCCTGTCCTCTCTCCGATTGGGACTGGGTTGCTTAAACACAATAAGAAAAGTACTCATTGACACCACAATAGTTGCACTCATTTTATTTATTAGTTGATATAAAGTTATTCATTTCTAGAAAGAAAAAAAAGGCTTCTAAAATGCATTTCTGTTGCTTTTATTACATAACCTAAAACCTACATTCCACCCTCTTCAAGACAAAGTAACTGCACACTTTAACAAAAAAAAGACTGTGAATTGCATTTTAATGCAATTATAATTTTCTCCATTTCTCCTGTAGTATACTCCTATAAAGTAATACTGTACCCTAATATACACAGGACTACACTCCTATAGATGGTCAACATAGATATTCACACTGGATCAAGTAAAGTTTCCCTGCATCAAAATACCAGGCAATATTTTCCAAAGTAAATATACAACTGAAGACCCTAAGCCTCATCTGAAGTTCAGCAGCGTTAGATGATCATAATCCCAAAAAAGGGACACGATTGGACCTAAGTATTCTACCTGTAGCTCAGCCTACAACAAATTAGGAGCCAAAACTTCTCACGAACTCTTTTTAGCTCACTAATATCGCTGGACAAGTTTGGGAGATTACTTCAACTGGCAGCTGGGATGGAACATTGCTCATCCCGTGCACATTATCAAATGAGATCTAATTAGCTGTCTTTGAGATTTACAGCAAGTCATCTGCTTGCTATGCACACTGAGTATTATTTTTCCTGTTTCAACAGCAAGCATTGTAATTATTGTTATCAAATGATAATTAAAATAGCTGCAGTTATAAATTCATGTGGCTAGTACAGGAATGGGTTGCAACAATCCACAGCTCAGAGAGCATAAATATGCCTTTAGAAAGAGCGTTAGATAATCACACCGCTGACGTACTGTCTGTATGATATTCAAATAACCATTTATAGTAATAGCATTTAGGCAGAATGAAGATTTACACCAACGGCATCACAAATAAGCAATCGATTTTCCTCTGAATATATTCAGTGCTTACTCTGGATTGATCACGTAGGGTCTTCAGACACGCTACAGCGCATTATAGTTCAAAGATTTATCAGAATGATGTGCGTGACAGCCAGACGCATTAATCCCTACCTTTGCTTTGGCTTAGCAGCCTCACTCCTCACTGGCTGATACGCTTCACTATCCTGGTTTACCAAACTGAAACAGTTCAATACAGAGACAAATGTGTGCCAGACTGAAGGCAAAAGATGAAGTAGGACCAGCAGCTGCGGCGTGGAACTGCAGCAGAAACCAGTTGGATTGTCTCGGCATACTTTTAGGTTAGACCTTCTTTTATATGAAAAATTCTGGACTAAAAGAATGTCAGCTTCAGACATGACCTTTTCTGACAAAGGTTACAAAATCTATTCAATTGCTTTACCAGAGAGACAAGCCCAACAGCTTGACATCTGTAAGAGAACTCTGATGTGATCCTATACAACAGCAGTATTCACTGGTGCATTCCATGTAGTCACAGACACTTGTCTGTGATTAATAGTCCTTAATCTCCTTTCAAAACTCCCTGTAGTATAAGCCTATTAATAGTGGGCAGTGAAGTAGCAGTTTCATTACTTCATTGCTGAGTAGCAGATAAATGCCTATACGATGTGGAGCTCAGGGACTAGCCAGAAAGCAAATGCTCAGCTGCAGAAGGCAACTGGCAACAATGAAGTGAGGAAAAAACAGATCAAAAAGAGAAATTCAGAGTGTCCCTGAAAGGGGTTTGCTAGATATCTAGTTGCAAAGTATCCAAAAGGTTTTACAGCTGCAAAATGAAACTCTAAATGAAAAATGAAAATTAAAGCTCTAAAACATAATAGAATGTTTCAAGCTGCTTTATCAAAAAGGTCATCATCACCACTGTTATCGTCTAGATGGTGATACAATATATAGGAATACATAAATACTGGGATATGATACAAAAGTTCACCCAGAAGAACTGGATTTAGCAGCTCACACATTCCATATTCTTGCATAGACACCAAAATTCTCAAGAAAAATCCTAAGCAAATTCTCAGAAGGTAGCAATTGTGCTTTGAAAGGGATGGTTTCTGACACGTCTTTTGCTCTGTGCTGTTAACTCCAGTTCAAGTCAAGTACCAGAGGCAACAGCTACTTTAGACTGAAGAGACATGACATTGGGAGAAGAATCCTATGCAGACAAGACCTTGCAAAACTGGTATTTTGCAACAGAGGAAACTTACTGATGTCAAAATTAGTCTCAAAAGCATTAAGCCAATTCAATGGTCCAATGATCTAGCATTTTTAAATACATTCTGCAAAGACAATGAACCTACAACACTCTGGTTTTGACATTTCTGAAAGCAAAGGAAAACCCAACATGCAAGATCTGGCTTTACATTATTAAGTATTAGCAATTCACACCCTAGCTGAGATGGGGGACTTTGCAAAGGTATTAAAATGCTAAAACTTGTAGAAAGAGAAAAGTCAAATTTCATTATCCAGAGGAGAAAGGGCTTTTTGTTAGCTACTTACAAGAGAAAAAAAAAGTCTGTGCTAACATCTGAAGATTAACTAATATAAAGCCTATTCTGTATTCTTGCACTTTATAAAGGAAGCAGAAAAGGCATAAGCAGTTATAAAACCACACACACAAAAAGAACAAAAATATGTTCAATACTTACAGGGAATACTTCAAATTATGAAAGTTTCAGAATGTCATTAGTATTTAGGAGCCTATATGGCATTTCAAATTACTTGACCATAGAAATCCAAGACATTTTTAGTTGTTCAGGAATCAAAACATGGTAGTTTGTTCCTTGCCTGTATTTAAGTGCTTAAATACTTTTTGAGGTTGGTCCCCAAACTGGGTAATTAAATTTTGAAAATGCAATTAATTTCATATGCTACTGAAATTCTTTGTAATTCTTGTAATATGACCATCTTTGGAGATACTCAGAAGCCATCTGAGCATGGCCCTGGGCAACTGGCTCTGGGTGGCCCTGCTTGAGCAGGGGATTGGACCAGACGGACCCCCAGAGCTCCCTCCCAAACTCAACCACGCAGTGATTCTAGACCCAACAGCACCACACCACCACCAGAAATTTCAGGTATGCAAAGGGACAAACCCAGAATTATATTTTCATGAAGATTCAGAAATAAGACCCTAACCTGCTATTCATGGAGGTGGCTTATTTAGCGCAAAAGTTTAGTTCCCCTGAAGACAAACCAATGCAGAAATTGTTCCAAAAGTGAAGTCAGCGACTGGAGCTGTTTCACAAACACGAGGAGATACTGTAAGGTGCCTCCCTTTGTAAAGGCACCTTCACAGTAGATCTAAATACTCCTGATGTATTGAAACAAAGAAACTGGCTAATTGTAATTTGTAAGTGTAATTTGATCACCACAGAGTCATATGCTTTAAACCTTATATTAAAAAGGAAAAAGAAGCAAACTACAGTTTAAGGAACTAAAATTTTAAGCTACTGCATTTTACTACAGAGCTTTATTTCGCAGTGCCTTCATACCTACAGTAAAAATATTATGAACATCATGCTTAGAGATACATGTACAGAAAAAAACAATGTACTGATACAAACCTGCAGCTTTTCATCCATATCATCATCACTTTCATCCAGATCTTCATGGAGTAACCGCCATTCATATTCTACATGGACATGAGAATTAAATCTTCCGGACAGCGCTTGAGTAAGCTAAGGACAAAAAGATGACTGTTGACACTTACATTATGCGCTGTACTGATTTTCAAAGAACGTATTTAAAACAAACAAAACCCATATATAGAAGGAACCTTAGTTTCTAACTACAAATATTACTTTTAATTTAAAAATAGATTTCAGTAATTGAGAAAGTTACTGCACTAAGTTTAAACTCTGACCAAACCCAACACAAACACATCAAAAGCATCTAGGCTTTTCATTAACCACAGTAGGTTCATTCTCCACGGCAAATCCATTCTCCATTTTCTGACAATAAGCAACACACCCTATTTGCTTTGAATTAGAAACTGCAAGTCAAATAAATTAACTTTGTGTTGGAATGGACCTTTGAAGACTGCCTAGTGCACCCCGCCAGTACCATGGGCTGGGACATCTTCCACTAGATCAGGTTGCTCGAAGTCCCACACAACCTGACAATGAACATTTCCCATGATGAGGCATCCACAGCTTCTCTGGGCAACAAGAAAATGGCCTGAATCCATGTCCTTCACCCACAAAAAGTACTTTAGTGATTAGATTTCAATGAGATGGCAGACACTTGGGGATCTGGGACTAATTGCTCAAAAAGAATCATTCTCTGGCTCCAAGAAGTTTCGCATTTCTAAAGCATCTAAAACGAAATATAATTTTCTTCTTAGAAAGAAGCATATAGAATCATAGAATGGTTAGGGTTGGAAGGGACCTTAAAGATCATCTAGTTCCACCCCCCCTGCCATGGGCAGGGACACCTTCCACTAGACCAGGTTGCTCCAAGCCTCATCCAGCCTGGCCTTGAACACTTCCAGGGATGGGGCATATATAATCTCCTCTTATATAACTTGATATAAGCATATAACTGTTTCTAAACATGTAACTATTCCATCTGGAATATATGAGTTGAATATTCTAGTGTAAACTCTTAAATATTCAGACATGATTCAGCTTGTAAATGCAGAAGCACACAAAGATGCAACACTTACCAACTCTTCACAGTGAGTATGTTTCAAACGTTTAGCTATATCGAGTGGCGTCTCTCCTGATTCATTAGCTATATTACAGCAAGAAAAGAAAGTTATGCTAGGCATCGCTATTAACATTCCCCTTCCTAAAGATAAAGACAAGCCTGCAGGTATGTAGTGAACTACTAGACCAACACACTCTAAAATTCATCTCTTTCTTTCATATGGAGGTCCACCTCATACCAACCCTTTGAACGTGACGTGCAGTAGCAACTCAACATGCCATCTATGGCTATCATTCCGTATGAAGTGGCAGTATATAAGTAGGCAACAAGATATCAGTCCAAAATCTTGGTATTTACTTATCTAAATTTATTTTAAAAAACAAGTGTAATATATCAGTTTTAAACTTGACCTAAACAGTAAATTTTGATTTTTTTTTATAATCAAGATGATATTCAGAGAATTATGGTACTCAATTGAGAAAAAAATGCACTTATTCCACCTTCACTGGTTCTTATCTGAAGCAGTGACAAATCATACAATCACAGAATGGTTTGGGGTGGAAGGGACCTTAAAGACCATCTAGTTCCACCCCCCCTGCCATGGGCAGGGACACCTTCCACTAGACCAGGTTGCTCAAAGCCTCATCCAGCCTGGCCTTGAACACTTCCAGGAATGGGGCATCCACAGCTTCTCTGGGCAACCTCTTCCAGTGCCTCACCACCCTCTCCAGGAAGAATTTCTCTCTTCTATCTAATCTAAACCTCCCTACTTTCAATTTAAACCCGTTACCCCTTGTCCTGTCACTACAGGCCCTTGTAAAAAGTCCTCCCCAGCTTCCTTGTAGGTATTAGAAGGTTGCTGTAAGGTTTCCCCGGAGCCTTCTCTTCTCCAGGCTGAACAAGCCCAACTCCCTCAGCCTGTCCCCATAGCAGAGGGGCTCCAGCCCTCTGAGCATCTTCGTGGCCTCCTCTGGACTCGCTCCAACTGGTCTATATCCTTCTGATATTGAGGGCTCCACAGCTGGACGCAGCACTCCAGGTGGGGTCTCACAAGAGCAGAGTAGAGGGGCAGAATCCCCTCCCTCGACCTGCTGGCCACACTTCTCTGGATACAGCCCAGGATACGGTTGGCTTTCTGGGCTGCCAGCGCACACTGCCAGCTCATGTTCAGCTTTTCATCTACCAGTACCCCCAAGTCCTTCTCTTCATGGCTGCTTAATCTGAAACTGAAGTACACGTTACCCTTTTACCTATTTCAATAGAAGCCTTCCCTCTCAGCAGCAGCTTGAGGCACTCAACGTTGTCCGTCAGACAGCAGTAATGCAGGGCCGTGCTACCTTTACATGTCTGCTTATCTAGATTGCCACTATTGGAGTACAAGAAAGAAGAAGAAAACTGAATAAACTTAATTTCTTACCCTGTATCAATACACCTCTCTCGTTACATGATTTTAAAAGAATAAAATTACACTTGCAAGTACTAGAATCAGTTTTAGTATTTGTATTGATTTATTATTTGTATCACTTGACATAAAAGCAGTACAAGTGTTTTTAATTGTTTTCTATACTTACCTGTTCTGTACTAAGAAGTCAACTATATGAAGGGATGTTCGATCAACTGACCTAACAGCAAGGTGAAGTGCTGTTTCGTCTTGTTCCTAAGAATAAAATAAAAGAGCACATATGTTTCTTCTGATCTACAGAGAAGCAGAAATTTTCTTAAGGCATAAATTAGACCAATTAAAACATTTAATTTCAAAAGACATGCTACCATTAAAACATCTCTTGTCAAGACTTCTATTGCTATCCTTTCATTCCTTTAAAGTAAAAAACCAAATGGGTTGAAAATTAATAGATTATTGAATGATTTAGTTGAATTTTTTAACACATTTAAAATATGAGAGTATTTTGAAACAATTTTAGGTTAAAATATTTAGTATCTTCTTTTGTTACTGTTAAATTACACCATTAAAAGGACAGGTCTTCAGAACAGTGTTTCAAATCTTATTTTCAAAAAGAACAAATAGTCCTTTTTAATCAATGAAAGAATATTGCACTTGTAACAATGTCTCTAATAAAATTTACAACTCTTACGTGGCCATTGGCCAGTGGAATTTTTTCTGTGAGATCCACGCCGTCAGCATATACTTGGACTAATCCAAGAATGTCTCTTGATTTGACTGCTTCACAGAGAGCGTGCAATTTAGCTGCATTGTCAGCATGCTTCTTCCTTGCATATTTTCTCTCAATATACTTGGCAGTAATATAATCTTTTCTTGCATTCCTGAAATTGAATATAATTTACTTCTATAACTTTTAGCAGAAGATACACATTAGAATTTCCATAAATACATTCAAGTCATTTGAAATGAGATCTGGGAAAGATTATTTCTCATTCATTATGACGATTTTCCTTTTTAAATATGCATGTAAGACGTGCAGTCTCATACTTCCAGTATGAAATGTAGCTACAGAAGATGAATCAAATACCCAGTATGAAGACAGGCCATGAATTTTCCCCTCTAAACTGTGGTGTGAAATTGAGATGATCAAGATTACCCAGGTCTACATACAGAAGGTACATCAAAGCTTCATAATGCCGGTTTGCTAAGAGCAGCCTTGCAGGTTTACGTTTACCTGCCTTGTACACACATGCTGGAAAGGGATGGAAGGCATGGGATAGGAAAATCTGTCTTATAGCTCTGCACAGACTATTCAGGCCTTGGACCTCTATTCACAGCAGTGAGCACGTTCTGTGAAACAACTCTTCATCAGAACGGTAACAGGGGGGGATGTAGTGGAGTTTTTTGTTTTACCTCTAAACTGAGGTAAAAAGTTAGTAAACTTGAAACAGCACAGGAGTTGCCACTTTTGCTGCTGATAATCCAGCTAGCAAATGACTACTCCTCTTCCCACCACAGCAAGGGAGGAGCTTGCATGCCTCCCAAAGGCGTAACTCCTTACCAGCTCTTGGGATGTGCACAACATTGCACAGAAGGCATTTTAAAAACCCATAGTTTATCATCTAGATTCCATACAATGTGAAAAAAACCAACCAAACAAACAAAAAAACCCCAATAAATTGACTCAATGGGTAGCTCTTGTTCCTAAAGGACATGACAGTATTCCGTCAGTTTCTTCAAAGTGCCTGTCTTTATGTTCTCATTTCATTAAAAAAAGCTCCAAATTTGATATGTAGATCTATCAAACTGAATGACTTTTTTAAATACCAATTTTTATAATTCTTATGTTATTGATTTAGCATTTAGTAAAAGTATTAGTAATTTAATTAATAGTCTTTATTATTATTATTGATAGGGGTAGTAAAAAATTACTTAAACTGCATGGCTTAACATCGGTTCTGTCAAAATGGTGAAAGTCCAGATAATGTAAAATCAGCTTCATCCAAAGCCAGTTCTTCTGGGTTTGTTTCTGCATCGTTTACTAGCTCTTTTACGATGGAGCAGTATCCAGCCAAGCTGGCAGCTGTTCTTGCTGTGTCTCTGTCATCACACTTCAATGTTTTCCAGGAATTCAATTAAATGTTCTGTCTTTATTCCACATAGTTATGGACTTAAGTCCTAGGTTTAGTTTCTAAACACTAGGTGTTCAGTATCTTTCAGGTAAAACGTGCACCTTATTTCAACTTCTATTTTCTGTTTAAATAATACAAAATTAATAGCTTTGGTTTTAATCCCTACTCTTGTGTGCCTTTAAAATTCCCAACAAGTCATGTTTGATTTGTGTCTGTCCCACAAATCCGGATTCAGAGAGTTAGTAAAATAATCCTTACTATTAGGGAAGATGAAGTTAGATAAAGTTCGATAAAACCAACATGCAAAGCATCTGAAAAATTGTTTACTCCTTGGCTGTAAGGCAATATATAAGACATTATACATGTCCCACGGACTGCTGGTGCAAACCATAATGGCACAACCCATTAGCAATATTAAATTAAACGCCTGCCTTTTTCGTAAGTAGTGGCTCTTTACTTACATATCACTGCTTGGATTAGGTTTGACCATCTCATCAACTGGCAGACAGAATTCCATAATCTCATTAAACCCAGCATTCCCAATATTCTTTGCAAGCTGTTAAGAAAAATAATCCACAGCTCAATAAACATGTTCAGTTATTGGCCAAACACATACTAATGGGAGGACAAGGGAAAATGGGAGTTAGAATCATAGAATCATAGAATGATTGGGAGTTGGGAGTTTTTGTTTAGTTCTGCTGCTATGCCAGTGATCATGAACAGATTAGGTAGCATTTTGGATGCCAGTTTTCAGCTGGGATTTAATACACAAACAGGTAACTGCAGAACAATCCATCAAGACACCAGTTCATAGAGTAAGTACAAAATATTCTATGCTGGGTAAGAACACACATATGGACTCCCACAGAGCAGCTGCTATGTGGTAACTTCTTCATGTAGCAAACCTGAATACATTTTCTTCCTCTGAGGATTAAAAATCTCTTCTAAAGCAATGCTAAATAATTAATGGGATAAGTATTTGTGAAGTCCTTCAATTTTTAATCTGAGAGGCACACTTGTACTTCAAACAGCTGTATTCTTTTAAAAAGCAACCAAGACTAAAAAGATTTGGAAATACAAAAAACATGAAGCGCTATTAATTTGAATTCTAAGATTAGGCAAAGTTTACAGTAAGACACTATGTTCCAGGAGGTTCCCTTAAACTTGAAGAATTAAGCTTTCTTAAATTATGTTTATGAGGAGGCAACTTTCAAGATTGGAACAACTGTATTGGAAGTATTTTATAGTACTATTTTTAAGTTAATAAAAGCAATTTGATTACCAAAAGTTCAGATGTTCCCAGCACATCTAATGTAAGTGACTGCATTCTGGAATAGTGAACACCAAGTTCTCTATGGATTCCTGAACATTCAATGCAAGTTAGAATTCCCAAATTTGTTGAAAGCCAGGTAGGATCTGAAACAGAAAGCACCCCCAGCATTAGCATTTATCCAGGTAATTATTTCATTCTAGAAAATGTAGAATACAGAAATGAAATTGTGTAACATAAGGTTACAACCCTCCTCAAACCATTGCAGGAAAGGACCTTGCCCTAAAGGGAATTGCTCAAACAGCCCCATTTGTCGTTCTCTGCACAGCTTTGCGGAACTGCATTTTTCCATCACCAACATAACGATGTCACATTCTCAACTGGGGGTATAGGTGCAGTTCAAACTGAATAACAATACCTACAGGGTTGGGGTTTTTTTGTATTTCACATTTTGTATAGACTTTAGACTAAGTGAAGCAGCAGTGATTCTGAAGCATACATACAGCACCACACTCCAATGGAGACTCGACTCAACTATTTCCAAGATACTAAGGCTCATCCCTCTTCTTTCATTATCCTTGCTTCTCTTTTCAGCTGGTATTTGGATTCTTGCTGTAATGTTCCCTTATTTTCCAGACAAATAATTAATTTCTGAATATTTAGACAGCTTAGAAATACATTTATTTGATAAAGGTTTGGTAGTAGCTATTTAGAATCTTCTCCTTTAAAGACAGCAGGATTGACTCTTCTCATAGTTTTATATAGTATCTATTGCTGGAAGTTACTATTGATTTATAAAGTGCATACAGCTTCAGATCTGATGATTTCAACTACAGTTTCAGACAAAAAAAACCCCCTACGTCCTGCGGTGCCTCTGCAATATAAAAGAACACAGGAAACAGCAGGATTTAAAAAAATAATTTGGAGAGGATTTAAGTAGAAATTCATCGATCAACAAACCAGCACTGCAGACCATTAGCAGCAGGTGCATTCTCTTCCAAATGTGCACAGTCTTAGACATATTCCCTAGCTCACTCTTAATATCAAACATAAAAAATAAAGTGTATTAGCAAAATGCTTGAAGCATCTTACTGCTGTCCAGTCTTACCAAAATCTTAGGTGAAATATGGGCTAATAAAATAAGTTCAGTTGATTTATATAAGCAAAAGTTACAATTCACAAAACACACAGGAGAAAAAGAAGCTGCTTAGTAACTTTTCTCCCCACTGGCAATATGCATATAGCAAATCAAACACTAAAGTAGTGCACTTAGATTGTTAGCATATTCCATTACGTGTATAAAATTGAAAGCATAAAACACCACTTTAAATACTGGCATGAGACACAGAATTTTTACCAATTAGAAATATGCTTAATTGAGTCACCTTGTGCTCCACAGTCACAACACACATCATTTCCAGTCATCCTCTGGACTTCAGATATAATTTCTTTTGTCAGTTCCTGGACAATATTATTTTCTCCTGTGTTATCATCTCCTTTGAATGCATTATTTAAAGCTTCCTCTTTGCTGTTTTGTAGCACAGATGTCCATCTAAAATGGCAGGAATATTATGCTATGAAATGTTTCAGCACGTCTAAAGTTCGAGGTAACTTCTCAGCAGAACACCAGTACCAGAAATAAAATTAGCAAAGAAACTCACATTTGACATTCCTGTTCATCCTCTGCTTGAAAGTGGTACGTCCTGTCGTCTGCACAATAAATAATTCACATAATGATTAAAAAAAATTATTGGAAAACTGATTCTGCAGAAATGTCAGAAAAACCTAAAATTAATTGATGTATGGCTCCTGAGGTCTCCAGTCTCATCACTGGAATGTTGATAGGCAAAAAGTCTATTTAGCAAGTTTCACTCACACTGCCTACAATTCATCTGTGTTCATGCCTATGTTTACAGAAGGTGGCTTCCTGCTCTTTAAACAGAAATTGTTTTCTTCAGTGCTGTGCTTCCGTCACATCAGCAGCAGGAGAGCACAGTAATTTTTCCAAGTTCTAGATATAACCTCAGTAACCACAACTCTAAGGTTCTGCTGGGGAGGGTGGTGTGTGTGTGACTAAAATATTGAGTCCACATTTGAGTTAACCTGTGTATATAAGAAAGATTTAGTTTCCAAATGAGCTCTTAAAACCACAGTAATCAAAAATGACAAAACAAATTTGACAGACACAAAGTCCAAACTACAATCATGATAAACCCAAGCTGTTTCAATTAAATCACGCTCAAAAATTTCAACTGACTGCACTTTCACAATTCTAAGCATTGTTATGAAAGCATACTACATTTAGTTCTATGAAACAAAAGACGTATGATGTAGTTTGGTGATTGAGCTGGAGTTAAAATTAGTATAGTTGATGAGAAGAACACAGGTAAATCTACAGGCGAAAAGATATTCTAGGTTAAAAAGTCCTAAAGTTTGAAAAACATTCAGGCAAAAAGGCACTAAAAGATAGCTTCAAGCATGGAAAATGTGAAGAGAGTAAGGAGACATGAAAGGGCAAAAAGAAAAGTGTTAGATAAAAAATAAGAGATTTTTATCTTGCCACGATACAGCAATTTGCAGTTTTGAAAAAAAAACAAGGAATGTTTTTAAAATCTATGGTAAAATTGAAAAAGTGAAATGGAGAAGTCCATGAGGCCAGTTATGCCCTGTCCTGTGCATGATGGGACAAATGATAATGTTGTGACAAGCTGGTACTGGGCAAAACACGACATGGTGATCAACAAAAAAAAGTGCAAAAGTAAACCGGGAAGACCACTTGCTCGTGCAGACATGGAACCGCTC